CTTCGAATCATATACAATCCATATACTTTTTGAATTTCATAGTATTTGAGTATCTAATTTAACTGAAGGTTCTTCTCCAGCATTGTTATATAATTGATACTGTTATGTTTAACAAAATTGAAAAACTAACATTTTTGAAAAGTAATTTCAAATTTTATAAATATTTCCTGTTAAATTTATATATATGATCTTAATAACACCATTTTATGACATGAATAGAATTAATATAGTATCATGTAATTGCAATTCTTTTATCAAATATATCTTGTACCCGATAATGATACTTAAATGTATCTAATATATATATTCATTAATGTATATATAATAATTAATAGATTTCTGCCCGTTCCTGTAAATCGTCGAACCCCTAGTCACGGCATTTCGGTGATGTTTTCTGCACCAAATCGCATAATTCCAGATAGGATGTGACATATAGAAGTAAATAACTTCAAGAAATGTGATATTTCACAGTAATAAAGAAGTATTTGGTTCATAACTGGGTCGTATGGGGTAGTATTGGGTAGTAGTTGGTGGTATATGGGGTAGCAGGGCTCACGCAATCCGAATGAGGGCTCATGCTCTACTTTTATTTTTTATTGGCTACTAAAAATTCGATGTGGCTACTAAATTGACTACTAAGTTTTTAAAAATGGGGAAACTCTGTATCTTTGTCCCAGAGAACGATCCGTCTACTCGAACTCACGTGTGTATTGTGGCTGACACTGATTGCGTAAAAATAATCAGGGCCGTCACAGATCAGCGCGCGCTGTACGACTGCGAGTTAATTAATGCTTTTGTCTAAGTTGTAAAGTCAATTATCAAGCTTCAGGTGGCAACAAGTGTTGTAATTCTTGTGCAATAATGGACAGTCGGGTCAAGTTAATTACATGACCCTTTGACGTTGAGAAAACAGTCTGATAAGCGAGTCACACATAGGTGGTCTCGCACACGTACATTTGACGGCGCCGTAAGTCGATCCAATAAACTCGTTCAAACACCGCATCCAACAAATTTATAGGTTCAGTATATTTAAATTAGTGTACATGGTATTCATTTACCTTTTCCAGTACCGTAGAAAGCATAAATACGTCCGATATGCTTGATTAGAAAGTGTAAGTATCGCCTTGAAACACCATGTCGAAGTGCTGATTTTCGGCCTTTCAGATCACTTCAAACGGTAGGCCCTTTATCGTATCTGACTGTGTACCTTCGTGGTTAGACGTTTTAGAATTTCATGTGATCGAGAAAAGTTATTTAGCATCGCAGTTATGCGGTTTTTAGAACAGCAAACCATTCAGAATCGCTTGTATTAGGTGCCAATCGACGACACGTGCACAGGAAAGGCCAAGTTGCGCGAAGTGATATGTGCTCCCGATTTATTTCGAAGGGTTTGTTAATACCGTTATAAATTCGTCCTTTTCCGTTCAAATGTGTTCTACTGCCATTTACATTTGAAATGTGTGATCTTTTTAAATATATTCATGTATTTTTTTTTACTTAAAACATGAATAACGGAAAAATAATTATCAATATTGCATCACTGAGGCTACTTTTTATTTGGATTTTATTAGTTTTATTTTTTGATTGAAGGCACGGAATTAAAGGCGAATAATATCTTATAATTTAAACTTTTCAGCCTAGATTTTTTCACAATTCCTGTGTCAAGAAATGAGATAAAGTCTGAAAAAGTCTCTCTTTTGAAAAATAAAAAGTTCTGGTGGAAATTTTCAGCATTTTAATTTAAATCATATTTTCTTAAAATTACAGCCATAAAATCTGAAAGGATTAAAAAAATATCACATTATGAATTAATTTATAAACATGATGCATAACAAAGAAATGAATTTAACAGAGTACTCCTTAATTTAACATCATATTGAATAGTTGCACTGCAAAAAATATTAAATATTTAATGAATTTAATGGAGGGCCTATCCGTAACGGTTGGAGGCCGAGAAAGTATGGCCACTGTTTAAAAAAAAATGGCTACTGAAATTCAAACATGGCTACTTTTTTAGCTACTGAGTCTTTAGGTCCAGGGTGAGCCCTGGCCGCCGTAGTATTGGGTCATAGTCACGGCAATTCGGTGATGTTTTCGGCACCAAGTCGCATATTTCCCGATAAAAGATGGCAGATGGAAGTAAATAACGTCTACAAAGGTGATATTTCACAGTAATGAAGAGGTATTTGGTTCATAACTGGGTAGTATTGGGTGGTATTGGGTGGTATAGGGTAATTAGACGCGCCGTCCTGATAAACAAAGAGACCTAGTTAGGATGATGATATTTGGCAAGTTACATGCTGTTGCAACATAATGTTTAAGTCGTCAGTGTAAATGATACCCCCGAATAGATGTAGAATAATGTTAGTTTCTGCTTCTCCTTAACTTATTCAAAGTCGGAGGGGAACTTTTAAATGTCACATATTAAATTGCGGCCATTACCTTTCTCGCCAATGAATGCATTTTTTCTCTGTTAATGCTTATTGAGGGGAATCGGAGCGTAAACGTAAAAAGACGTTAGAAGCCGCCAATTTCTTCAAGTTCCGCAACATTGTAATTGTATTCATAATAAACTTAAGAAAAATAAAAAAAAATACAGAAAATATGCTTTTACTTTAAGCTTAATATGTATGCTATATATAACCGACATCAACATCACAAGTGGATAAATCACTGCCGTCGCCGAGTAAGTAGGCAGCGACCTGGGTAAATATGTTTACAAAAGCCGAGTATGTGTGGCACATGTAGGACATATCTAGGTTACACAGACAAGGAAGTTTAAAACCCAATCAGTATTTAACATTTTACAAAAAACAAGATTAGCTCTGTAGCAGATGACAACACACATGTATTTGAAGGGCATAGGAGGTATGATCAGTAGATGTTTCTTACTGATAACGGCGCTTTCGTATATAGGTACGTATACTGTCTTTATCAAGGTAGACATTTGCTTTTCCAAGTATTCTTTTTATAGATTATCATACACAACCCAGCAGTGTCACAAACACAAACTATACGAACACTTCGCATATATGAGTATTACATGTACTATGATGTAGGTTTGAGTGCATTAAAAAATATTATACATCGAATTCAACATGTACATGCATGTATGTCTAATGTTCTGAAATACGGAGCTACATTTTCAGTGCACTATATGTTTAAAGAGGCGAAGTCCGTATATGTTAAGTTTCTCCTTTCGGGTTTGCCCTGGTTTTTTTTTTACATATTTAACTTGATTAACTTAAAAAGGAAAAATTCTACCTGAGCGTACGATTGTCGTAATATTAAACCTAATTGTGTCACCATAGTCGTCTCTTACGATCATGCAGTTGGACAAAGCAGACCGAATCTTTCCATGATAAGGCAACGGTTATGTACACCACAGATTGTTATTCCACTGAGCTATCTACACCATACATTAGTATTCTACCGAGCAGTTATGTTAACCACAGATTGATGTCCCACTAAGTTGTCGACACAACGGATTGTTGTCCCATTGAGCTATCTTCTACACCATAGGTTGGGTTGTTGTCCCACTGAGCTACATGTATCTACACCATATATTGTTGTCCCACTTAGTTGTAAACACCACACATTGTTGTCACACTGTGCTATCTACACCTTACTTGATTGTTGTTGCAGTGAGCTTTCTACACCATCGATTGTTGTTCCACTGAGCTATCTACACCACAGATTATTGTCACACTGAGCTATCTACTCCATATATTGTTGTCCCCCTGAGTTATTTACACCATATATTGTTTTCCCACTTAGTTGTAAGCACCACAGATTGTTGTAACACTGAGCTATCTACACTAAGATTGTTGTTGCAGTGAGCTTTCTACACCATCGATTGTTGTTCCACTGAGCTATCTACTCCATATATTGTTGTCCCCCTGAGTTATTTACACCATATATTGTTGTCCCGCTGAGCTATCTACACCATATATTGTTGTCCCACTGAGCTATCTACACTAAGATTGTTGTTGCAGTGAGCTTTCTACACCATAGATTGTTGTTCCACTGAGCTATCTACACCATAGATTGTTGTTCCACTGAGCTATCTACACCATAGATTGTTGTACTACTAAGATATCTACACCATAGGTTGTTGTTCAAGTGAGCTTTCTACACCATAGATTGTTGTCCCACTGAGCTATCTACACCATATATTATTGTCCCACTAAGCTATCTACACCATGTATTGTTGTAATACTGAGCTATCTACACCTTACTTTGTTGTTCACACTGTGATATATACACCTTATTTTGTTGTCACACTGTGCTACCTATACCTTACTTTGTTGTCACACTGTGCTACCTATACCTTACTTTGTTGTCACACTGTGATATCTACACCTTACTTTGTTGTCACACTGTGATATCTACACCTTACTTTGTTGTCACACTGTGATATCTACACCTTATTTTGTTGTCACACTGTGATATCTACACCTACTTTGTTGTCACACTGTGATATCTACACCTTACTTTGTTGTCACACTGTGATATCTACACCTTATATTGTTGTCACACTGTGCTATCTACACCTTAGATTGTTGTCACACTGCTATCTACACCATATATTGTTGTCACACTGTGCTATCTACACCATAGATTGTTGTCACACTGTGCTATCTACACCATATATTGTTGTCACAGTGTGCTATCTACACCTTACTTTGTTGTCACAGTGATATCACACCTTACTTCGTTGTCACACTGTGATATCTACACCTACTTTGTTGTCACACTGTGATATCTACACCTTACTTTGTTGTCACACTGTGATATCTACACCTTATATTGTTGTCACACTGTGCTACCTACACCTTACTTTGTTGTCCTGCTTAGCTATCTGAGCTATGAATTATTGATATGTTATATATCACACCGACCTTTGTACGGGATATCATATATATATATATATTTATATATATTTACACATGTTATAGTTTATGACCTAACATGATGTTTTGCGCTGGGTTTGTAGTAAACATCCTCACAACTTCGATTCCTTCATTGATCACTAATATGAAATGTGTGCGCCTTCTACAGAATACTCACGGGTTTTAAAATATTGAAAAAAATGATATTTGTATACATTATTATAAGCCAGCATCAAAGTAGTAATCGTTGAATCTACCAATATGATAACAATATGTGTGTTCCTCCAGATATAGTGAATATTTTGGAGGGAAATGCTAACTGTCATCATATTGGTAGTTTCAGCAATTACTACCTTGGTGTTGGCATATCCATTCATCACGACAACATAAACATATAGGAAATATAGCACGCCGACTTATCATTTTGTTTCAAAGATTATTCAATTTTGTTTCAAGGCAAGAACTCTATTTTGATTTAAATTGTCTGCAAAACTGTATTCAATATAAACTTTGTATGAAGTTTGATTTTTTTGCTAATTTCCGCCATTATTTAATAATCGTAATAAATTAATTTGTCCCTTGTTGAAAATAGCTTTAATAGAATACGATATTTAAAATCACTATACTATTCAAAGCTAACTTAATTTAGAACACAAACAGTAATTGAATACTTATTTTGAAAAATATGTTTTTAATGGCTGTTTGTGTTCAAAACAAACTGAGCATTTATTATTCATACCAATAAAGTCTCATACCAAATCACGGTACTAATCTTAACAAACCACATTTCGTGATTCCTGGTGCGTTTCCTGCTGTGTCAGTGTCTCTTAGGCTGCTTAATTCGACTTGAGTAGGGGTTATGTAGTTGGCGACTTTTCGAAGTGATTTCAATTACTTGTTCGAGGACGATCAAAACCTTTTTTTGCATTATTAAGGCAATGTTAAACGATATCCGCCTGTTAACGAAAAATACAACAATATTACCTACACATCAAACGCACTTGTAAGTGGTAACACAGATGGTCAGATAACATCAACGATAAACTCACCCCACTGGTGGGTCAACAGTCCCTATTGATCGAATGTGCCGATCTTACACAGATTCGAGACCATTGTTAGGATGTGCCCGATTTGAAAAAAAACACCACTCAATGAATTTGTCAAAGATTTCGAGAATCTTCGTGAAATTGCATGGTTTATACAAAAAATGGAAATGTGGGACATTTTTTTCTTAAATAATATCAGACAGTTTTTGCTGTATGCCTATGTGTACAGTTTTTAACCTTTTTCTTTTAAATTTCTTTTTGTGTATTACATTTTGTTATTGTGCCCTGGTTTTTGTTGTCTGGCCCGATTTGACTTCACCGTTGCTGGGCCGTTAAGCAATACACTAAATAACTTACATGATACTTTTAATATAAACGTTCATTGAGGAAACTGCAGTCGTTGCTATATGGTTTGATCACACAAGTATCACTGAAGGGCATACTGGTCAACATGTAAAAGTAATAATCACGGACACTCAAGCCTAAAATCTTAAACGGAAGTTTTTTTAATTATTATTACAGATGCCGTTACATTAAATGGGTCGTCAGAGTACGCTGTTCCCGGAAGTGAGTTTACACTGACGTGTGAGGTACCAGAGGAGGCAAACATTGTTACATTTTACCGCCGTCCTGATGTTTCTACTCCAGTAGGAAGTATACAAGTAGCTGGTGACCAATGCTATAACACCAAAGCCAGCCCAGCTGTCCTCTGTACACCGGATGTCTGTTCCTGTGTAACAACCTCGACTGGAGGCCGTGGTACAGTGTTCCGATGGGTCTTACGACCACAGAGTGGAGACCACGGATCCGAGTGGTTTTGTGGGCGTACTAACTTTAATTTGACAGACCAAATAAGGCAGAGTCCGGACTATACACTAAAAATAGCTGGTTAGTTTTAATTTTCCTGTACTTCCTGAAGTTGGTCATTGATCGGGATCACAAAAGAAATGATATTCCTGCCAATAACTGAAACTAGATATCTGACAGACAAAGTCTTGACTAACTGCTGGTTGCTTGTCATACCGTTTAGCAGGAAATGTCCTAGGGTATGATATTTGCGCTATTTCGCGGGTAAATGACGTGATTGCGAACAATCGTAAAAATGAGACACTTTATCTGTTGTCAAGAACCAACGAATTACATCCTTCTCTGCTTGATCGTAAGAAACAACTAATATTGAAGCGCCAGCAGAAACGTGGCATTTGTTTTGTTCCATTTTCGTTTAAAATAGTGAGATTGGATTGATTTTGTTTAACGTCCTATTAATAACGAAGGTCATTTAAGGACGTTACTTAATGCGTGATGTGAGTGTATGTGTGCTCGAGGCAGGGTATGTTGGTGTAATTGCTTCCTTGCGATAGCGCGGATCTGGTACCAACTTTATAGTGCTATCTCAGTGAAATACCATGCTGATTGCATCCAGCACAGCATTCCGCCCGGTCACCTTATACAAAAAATATGATGAGACAAAAATATATCTGCTATAGTCATCGCCCCTTTTGGGACCTTATATAAAACTGAAGGCACAAAAGGGGTTTCATTTAAGAAATTATGTAACAAATACAATGTGCCAAAAAAACGTCATACAGCTGATGCATCTTTGAAGGACTCATTGGTGATGCCGAGTTCAAAAAAACGTAGAAGGCCAAATTGGTCTAAAAATTACTATGATGAACTGTCCTTGTATAATTGAAACACCATACATAATTTTATATAAACTTGAAGGATATTTTATAGTCTAACTAATCTCCTCCGATTATCTAACAATGTGATTTTTTTTAATATTAGCGGATTGTCCTTGTAAAGAACAAATGTTATTTAGATAGAAAATAAGATCCAAATATGCAAAAAAAATGTTAAGTGTTTAATTCATTAGAAAATCAATTTTGTCGTATCTGCATTAAATATGTTTGGTTTGGTTTGGGTTAGTATTGTTTAACGTCCTATCAACAGCTATAGTCATTTATGGACGGCCTCCCCTGTGTGCAAGATGCATGCGTGTGTGGTTTGGGAGGCTGCGATATGTTCGTGTTTGTCTCCTTGTGATAGCGCGGAACTGATGCCGACTTTATAGTGCTATCTCGCTGAAACATACTGCCGAAGACACCCAGAAGGTCACCCCACCCGGTCACATTATACTGACAACGGGAGAACTAGTCGTCCCACTCCTAAATTCCTGAGCGTTAAGCAGGAGTAGAAACTACCATTTTTACAGACTCTGGTATGTTTCGGCTAGGGGACAGAGCCCAAAGCCCTACTCACAGGGGCGAATGTTCAACTAAAGGCCAAAAGTGAGGCATTGTCAAGGGAGACATTAGGAAGAAGAAAGTTGTTTGGCATTATAGATATAAATGTGTTCAAAAATCATATTAATAAAGAATGGCTAAATGTTATTCTTTGTTTAAACGAAAATAATAATAATATATACAACATTTATAAAGCGCCCTATATAATTTGTATAATTTCTCTTAAGCGCTCTACAACATATGGATATTTGTATAAGTTATATTTGTGAACAAAAGCAAAGGCTTGCAATCACCTTGTTGACAAGATCGATGGAAAATCCGAAAAACATATAGCTCAGCCAGTTTTATTGAAATTTATCACACAGGAATCGCCGAAGTGCATACCTAAGTGTAATAAAAACAATATCAGTTTTGCAAAACTAACTCTAACCAACAAATCATAACGTGTTTTTTTTTTCAATTTCACAAACTTATCTAAAGAAGAGTTTAATAATCACAGATGCTGTTACGTTAACTGGGTCATCCGAATGGGCTGTGCCCGGAAGTGAGTTTACATTGACGTGCAATGTACCAGAGGAGGCAAATGATGTTACATTTTACCGTCGTCCTGACTTGTCTACTACAGTAGGTGTGATACAAGTAGCTGGTGACCAATGCTATAACACCAAAGCCAGCCCACCTGTCCTCTGTACACCGGATGTTTGCTCTTGTGTTACCACGTCGACTGGAGGCCTTGGTACAGTGTTCCGGTGGGTCATACAACCACAGACAGGAGACCATGGATCTATTTGGTTTTGTAGACGCACCAACATAAATCTGATAAATATATCCCAGGACAGTCCCGAGTACACGCTTGCAATAGTAGGTAAGAGTTACTCTGTCTGTTTACGACATGTTTATCTAGTGGTTTTATTGCTTGATTTCACAAGATAAACGGCAATTTGGCTAAAATCGTAACCAGATTACTATCAAATATACTCTTTATGTCGTTTAAAGAATATATACTGTAACCTGTCATAGTTTACATGGTTTTTCGTTTTTCTGAATATTTTGATATTGATATAATCACATACTTGATCTAATTTTAATTATATACGCCGTTTTCATAAAGATGGTCCAGGAGAATCAATTTCTTTGTCCCCGCCTGATACGGTCTACACAAGAAACGAGGGTGATAGGTTACCGGACATCACCTGTACAGCTGATTGTAGACCTAGCTGTATTTTCATCTGGACAAAACCTGACTTCACCAATTTTACTGCCTCAGCTGTGTTGTCACTGGGACAACTGGACAGATCAGAGCATGGGACATACAGATGTACTGCTAGGAATGATGTCGGCGAGTCATCCACAGCTGTGGTTATAGCCGTATTGTGTAAGTTTATTAATACTAATGTATACTTATATAGTGTCAGTAGATTGATCGAGTGATTAAGTTAAAATACTTGAAGTTAAATAAGTCATGCTGTAACCATCAACTTTGTTACAATAATGAAAACAAATTAAAATGTGTAAGTAAAGAAATGTTAAATGCAGAACTATTTCATTACATGTAGTACCTGAAATACTTACCCTTAATTTTGCTGATATTAACGTTGTGGCAAATTCACGTCTTTCCCTAGTTTTGTTGTTTCCCTTGTTTATGTAATTGTTTCATTTATCGATTTGTTCTAGTTGTTTAATTGTGAATAGAGTCAGAGATATTGTTTTACATATGATTTAATTACGTCATCTAACATACATGTAAACTGTTTTGTATTGCCTTATAACGTTCATATGTAAAACAATACATTTGCTTACCCAATATTAACTAAGGCTTAGATTTTGTTTTTGTCGATATCGTCGGGTTATTTATTGAGGTACCCTTGAGGAAAATAAGGCAGTTCATGTAGAGTTCATCTTAAGATCGACTCCATTCATCAGCTCATTCACTTGATACTATCAAGTTATCGCTTACATTTTAGTTTAATCCTTTTGTAAAATTCGGCACAATATACTGAATCTAATGTTAATAAAACGTCAATAATTGAATGTTTGTTGTCATAGACCTTTTAATAAAAATCAATTTGTTTTCCTCGTATTTATCACTTAAGATAGATTTACAAGTTTATAGCCTTTGCAATTTATTATTATTATTTCATCAAAACTTTTTAATGTTACGACGGGTTCATACTAGATTTTCAGTTTTAAGTTAAGCTTCAATCCATACACTCATATAATATTTATCTGATCAGTTTACAAGACAAATGACAAAAAAAAACAATATCTGGAAGATACAATGAATCAAGCTTGGTTAGGAATAGAAACAATGTAACCTGATGTATAGATTTGGTTTGGTTAGACTTAATGGGATAAACGTCCTATAACATCTTAGGTAACAGTTCAAGGTATATGGTATACATGTATGCATACGTAATTAAAGTAAATATTAATGTTTATCATATGCATACCGTGTTATTCAGTGGCATAAAGCCATCACATACATTATGTTTACGTAACGTGTGTAACATCACTCCGGAAATGACGTCACATTCGAATAGGAAAAATCAATGTGACGTCATGTCATTGTGAATCGGACGCATTTTGCATCTGTTCAGAAGCGGCCAAGTGTGAACTATTCGTTTCAGATCACAATTATACAGTTAACTTTGTGTTAAATGAATCTGTCATACGTTTCCCTTCATATTAGAATTATCATTCTCGCAAACATGAAAAATCCAAAACTCGTATCATAAATCTAATATGAGGGGAAACTTACAACAGATCCTCTATATATGTAATGGAAATATGTACGACATTCTTAGTATATTATTTATTATTCATGGTATTAGATTGAAATGTCCAAAGGATGAATTGCACGACATTATTATTACTAAATAAACAAGAAATGTTAATGTTACAGCTCATTATACCCTGTGTCTTTTTGTTTCTCTAATTACCTTTAACGTTAACAGATCGCCCTTACCTAGTCATCAGTCCGTCTAGTAACCCTTACATTGTTGAGGAAGGCCAGACAGGCGTTACCTTTCAGTGTACGGCGACTAACACCAATCCACCTGTCACCTCAATATCGTGGAGGACGGGGACAACCACGGTGTCCAGCACTGGTATATACAATTTAACCACAATCTCTCCGAGAGATGCTGGCGTGTATGTGTGTTCCGCCAGCAACAGTATTGGTACAACGACTGCAAACTTAACATTAGAAGTTATATGTAAGTAGTAAATCGTTAATATTATAATATGTATAATTGGTTGTATCTATTTATATGCAAGTACAAAATTAATAAATCGAACACATATAAGCAAACTGGTAATTTCAAAAAATAAAATCCTCACAAACAGGTAATAAGACGCGAAATGGCCATTATGAATTTTAAAATTTAGAGATTGTTAATATATAGATAGTTATTGGATTCTAAACGGCCCATCAACATAAGGGCCATTAAAATGGAAATAAAACGTGTTAAAGGAAATGGGATCTGTTATTATTGTTATAAAAAAATATCTCTTGCTGGCAGAATGTCAATGCAATATAATAAAAAGTCTAAATGGTTTGGTTTTATTAGCTCACCTGGTCCGAAAGGCCAAGTGAGCTTATGGCATGGTGCGGCGTCCGTCGTCCGTCCGGTGTCAACTTTTTATTTTAAACAACTCCTTCTGAATAACCTAGAGGCCCAAACTGATTATATTTGGCCAGTAGTATGCTGGGATGAAGGGCTACCAAGTTTGTTCAAATGAATGACATTGACCCACTTCCAAGGTCACAGGGGTCAAATGTCTTAAAATCTTCAAACAACTTCTTCTCAATAACCAAAAGGCCCAGGGTACTGATATTGGGTCTGTATCATGCTGGGATAAAGGGCTACCAAGTTTGTTCAAATGAATGACCTTGACCCACTTTCAAGGTCACAGGGGTCAAATGTCGTAAAATCTTCAAAAGACTTCTTCTCAATAACCAAAAGACCCAGTGTGATGAAATTTGGCCTGTAGCATGCTGGGATGAAGGGCAACGCATTTTATCAAATGAATGACGTTGACCCACTTTCAACCTAAATTCCTTGTTCGACATTCAAGGTCACAGGCGTCATATGTTTAAATCTTTTAATAGGTTCTTATGAATCAAACACTGATATTCTGCCTGTAGCTGTATTTTAAGATTGTGAGATTAATACCAGGTGAGCGATGCAGGCCCTCTTGAGGTATTGTCAAGCAAGGCTCTAGGAAATAAAAGGTAGAAGTTCAAAAAATACAAATATTTCAATGGGTGCAGCAGATTTATTTTAGTCGCTTTTCCTTAAATGTAACACAATCTGCCATTACAGCCATGCCAAGGACACCAAAAATATTTGGCATCACGAAACTGTCGTCATCATCACTGACGTTGAAATGGACACCCAATGACCAGGATAATTCGGCCAACACCTTCACCATAGCGTACTCATGCGTAGACTGTGACGTTACGGATGTGATGTCAGTTGATGTCGAAGGTACCGGAGACACCCAATTTACGACTCTTACGGACTTGCGGACAAACACACAGTACTATATTAACGTCACAGCGAGCAATACTGCCGGCTCGAGCGTTTCGGCGGAACTGACTGCAGTAACCGCACCGGGTATGTTGTAATCCGGCAATATTTCTTTAATATTGATTAAAAAAACACAAGCAAATGGTTATTTTTTATTTGAATGGTAAATAACTGCAGCAGTGGACATTTCGGCGACGTGACTTTATTCCCTATGAAGATTGTCACCTATATCTGTTATTATGATACAATAACGTACTATGTAAATTATGAAGACAGAATCACAATGCGAAATTGCCTGCACCTACATAGTTTTAATTTTGCAATATAATAAAATATACCATATACAGAATGTACTTTGTGTACTGATTATTTTTTATTTTTCTTAATCTCTGATATCATAAGTGTAAATACGCTTCACTGATTATTTGTTTGAGAAAGTGAAAGAACATATTTCAAGAAAGAGAAATTTAATTGACCCTTTAGGAAATAAGCTTCCGATATTTCATGGGGCATCCATGTTTTAGATCATTTGATGTATACTGTGATTTAATGTTCCCATTCTTACTAGTATTGTTTTAGTGATAAATAAAATTCCTTTTAATAACGCATCACTTCGCTTAAAGATTAAAAATCATCAAAACGTCACAAATAACATGTCAATAGTTGCGTTATATGAAACATTTATGCTATGTTTTCTTTCATATCTTTTGATGATTTGATTTTAATAAATAACCTCACGTCTCCTATACTAGATATTCCAAGTTTTACTATGATATTGATTATTTGTAAATATATCCTACTAGATTATTCATACCACCTACAGGTATCATCAATGTATGTACTGCTTCTCAAGATACTGTTGGACCTACCTCAACTGCAGTGATCGTTGTTAGCGCAATCCTGATTGTAGCAGCAGTGGTTTGTTTTGGAATCTCTGTATTTGTTTACCGTAAGATTTGTTCTTTACAATATCACCCCCCCCTCCCCCAATAATCAAATATAGTTTATAACCGTGGGACTGTACTTTGGTTGACAAATCTCCAAATATTGCACGAGAACGCATCCTCGATCTCCAGGGGTTACACTTACTTTCGCTCTGTGCACCCCTTGAATATGTCATAGCAAAATTGAAGGCACGCGGCTAGNCCGTGGGACTGTACTTTGGTTGACAAATATTACACGAGAACGCATCCTCGATCTCCAGGGGTGACACTTACTTTCGCTCTGTGCACCCCTGAACATGTCATAGCAAAATTGAAGGCAATGAGTTAACCCATTTATAAAACACGATTCCACGTACAAATGAATAACAAAAAACAGTATTTATCATATTTAAGAGTGAGATATTCAACTCTCTCTATTTAATAAAGTCACATATTTCATAAAGCAAAAATTATCACTAGTACTTTTTACCAGATAAAATACATCATTGTCAATGTGACCAATCAGAATTGTCAGTGTTCAATCCACAAAATGAAGAATGTCGACGTCGACACTGAGTGAGATAAACAGAAAGTCATGTAATGGATGTTTTTGCTATAGTCTAGTCTAGTCATGCAGTGATAACAACGCCACAACGGCATATGGAATTGAACTTATTTTAAAGTTATTTCTGTTATTTTTCTCGGTATTAATCCCTTTATGAAACTAAATATAAATGATGACCTTATTTACTTTAGATTATTGCTTGTAAACTTCATACAATTATATGTTGTACATTGTATTTACTATTTGAAAATATCAATATATCTTTCTAAAAAAAAAACGCTAATTGCTAATATTTCATTTACAGGAAAGGCACGTGTACTAAACAGGTAATGTCTCTTATGCAATAAGACTTAAACACGCGCTTCTTGTCACTGAAATAATATCTATATAAATACATATGTTTAATAAAAAAAAAACCCACAGGAATTCATGCCTTATTCGTAACAATTCTACTGAACTTTTCTAAATTAAACGTATACACAATTTGCATTATTTATTTTTTCAATGTTTTTAATATTGGCTGAATACAACTTTATATAACTGAGTAACATTTACACTGCAAGTTCGATATAAACACTACCAGAAGAAATTAGGCCAGAAATGTGACCATGAACGTAATGAGACCAGTGAGCTTTTTTATACCTTTTCATGATACATGTGATATTTATGGTACCGACTTGAGCTAATATCAAAATGAACATTGACAAAAATGCCTATATTGAATAATGATTTTATAATATACTTTTGTATCACGTAAACTTTTATCCGATACACACTGCTATAATTTATAATTTCATTCGCATTATTGTCAAAATGAATAGTGGCTGTTTTTTCAAAATAACTTCAAATCACATGTCGAACTGTAAACAATAATGTACCAATTGCAATGTATTTGATGTCTTTTCAGGGCTGCTGGTCAGCAGGGAATTGTGCAGAAGCCAGTAAAATTCAGTGACGTACTTAATCCAGGTATGTATCCAAGTAATGTAAATTAAAACAAAATATATACTAACAAAAATTGTGTATATCTTTGAAATATTAATATTGGTTTACATCGTGATTTAATTTGTATTTGTTTTTATTATTTTTATAACTAATTTCAGATACGATACCAGCTCATGCAGAAGAAAGGTATAGTATTGTTAAGTTTACTGTCATAAAAGGTTCATGTTGACAAGTGTAAGCGATACCGTAAATCGTACGAGGTCATGATTTTAAGATATGATCAACATCTGGATGACCGAAATTCATTTTCAAGCATACATCTGTCTTTCATGTTAAAAAGTAGGCACGACAGATATTACTTCAGATAATTCGGAGGAAAAGCTATGAGCGGCCGAAAACGTCTTCATTATTGATCGTGTAGACAATTAACGATAATTGCAAACATATCTGTAATTAAAACCAGAGCTTTTCCTTGTTTATCTAGTTATTTACTTAAGTTCCGGCGGTGGAGAATGACACATGTTCAATCTTTTTGTCAGGCTTTGGAAATAATAATGTATTCAAACATATAAGATCCCATGCTTTCTGATCAGAAGACAAACTACAGAAATTTGTAGGTGATAAACGTTTCTTTATTACAAACTTTAGACGAAAACAGGCAGGCAAACACTGAAATACCTTTTTGAGTAATGTTTTTAACATTTAGAAGATTCACAATCTCAGGAAATTTTACATGACAAATTATTTTTTCTAGCCCATTGGAGGCAACGATGATATTAAAATAAAAAAAATTGCTTTGTATACAACAGTTGAGTAAAAGAAGACGTATTTTTTTTATAAATGACTTACTGGACGAATCGGTAGGTTTTCTCTCTTTTGAATCTTTCCAAGCGAATTTCCACTTGTTTGTCGAAAGTATGAGATAACACAGTATTATCCATGGTTTTCCGCAGTGTTTGAATTAAAGAAAGTTTATTACTCAACTGACAAAGTATCAAAATTGTTTGATATTAATTGTAAGACAGGTACACAGATTTACCAGATAACATAATAAAAAAAATAGGAAAAGAAGTTAGAAATAACCGTTCCCAGATCACAGTGGCAACGTTTTTTCTGTAACGAATGATGCCGCTTTAAAATGTCTCCAGTTCTATTTAATGTAGAGTGATTTATACAAATACATTGCTTATGAAAATAAATAATGCTGAAACAGAACCACGTACTTTTTGTAATGAAACAGGAACACTTTAAAACATCTCTTTTGGGACTCTATACATTTGAAAAAAAATTGGATGTATTTTTGTAACGCTTGTCTTGAGAGAGGCATTGTAAACAAAAATAAAAAGGGATGTAAGGGAATGAATTAATAAAATTAATTTATGACTTAAAACAATGTATTTACTAATGTAAATATATAGATAACATCCCATTCGTTTTTGGGGCACTTGCCAAAATAAACTATAAAATCATCATAGGTGGATGTCTATCTTTACACTCCTTAAAAAGCAATCCAAATGAAATTAAAATAGATACATATATCAAGAGGACTGGATCTTTCCTAAGCTTCGTTTTTTTATGTTAAATACCCTAAATACGCTATTTACATAATAAAATATGGTGTATGTAGGTTTTCTAATGTAAACTGTTCAACATGATATTGTCATTGGAAAGAATAAAAAAAAAATCAATAAAAAATCTCAATCAGATTATTAATTGACGTCGTGACCGGTTTCTGCTAGGGGCTATTATGTCTTTCATTACTTTTGGGAGGTGTTACCGTGTTGTCTTTGAGTTCAGATTTTTTTTATTGAGTGCTGACACGGTAGTATATATACATTTACTTTCTTTTGATCTATAGATATGCATATGATGCGTTCCATGAGAACAATCTAACAAACATGCCAATTTCAATACCATTCAATCGGTATATTTACCCTTTAAAATGTTAGCTATCATTCATTAACTTTTGTTACACCTCAAGTGAATTTCTAGCTATTTGATTGGTTGGGAGAAAATTAAACAAAAATCTCCGAAAATACATTGGTTTTAAGGGGCGCGGTTGATATTGCCATGAGACAGAGAAAAATACCACATGCGCGAAAAATGTAAGTTCCGGGTTCTTCACAGTGGCCATTTTTCACCGCTTCGTTTCACCACCGTGATGGTCACAAGAACGTTTGACGGCAACAGCCAATTTTATCAAGCGCCGGTGCGATAGCGATTGTAAACAGCAGACTATCAACAAACAAGATGTCATTATCGAGGTTTGCTGCCGTTTCTGAGCTACATATGAAGGAGATTCTTTCCTCCAAGGACTCAAAAAAGGAAGCTGCCAGGTATTCAGAGAGTTCTAGGCGAGGATAGTAATTTTGAAGACTTTACGAAGCAGAAACTCAATGAAAAACTGAGAAAGACTTTTGGTGTAACAAAATAGATATGAGATTCATTAGCAGGTGACAGTGAATATTGTCAACCCTCAAAAACCCATTGTCACTCTCGGCTTCGCCTCGGGTGACAATGGTTTTCTCGGGTTGACAATATTCACTGTCACCTGCTAATGAATCTCATATTTATATAATGATGATTACTGTGTATTTGCGTGTGAATCGTAACATGAATGATATTGACAAAACACCGCTCTGAATCCGTCCTCATTTGAGATAGTTATCAAATTATATACATTAAGTTTTGCGACACTAAACCATGGTAATGATGATCATGCTATTGTGTCATAACTAAAACCAACCAGCAAACTGACTGAGGTAGTTATGAAGTGTTTGAGTGCTACCTCACTGGAATGTCAGAGGCTGGACAAGGTAGAACGATCGAAACAGCCAGGGTCATATGACGACGGGTTCCTAGGGAGATAACGCATGAAACAGAACGTAGAAGGAAAGGAAAGGAGACAGGACAGAAGGAAAACGAAAAAGTGTTGCAATAGGGGCAGCATATCAAGACACGAAACCCCCGATTCTACATGGGGCCCACATTAATCGTCTGGTACGTTTCACTTGCAGTGTGATAAAGAAGGTCTATTCTCGATTTTTTCAACGTCCCCTAAATGGAAAGAAGCATGATACTCGAGTTGGTCACATGCTACTGACATCATGCTAGCCAGTCCTTAATGACACACATTAAAACTGAATGTCAAGCACGGGACAATCAGTACCGAAGTAAAGAATTGGCAAGATGTTAGTGAAAAGAGAAGACAGCACACTTTTTAATGCATACTATCTAGACAAATCTAGTTTGAACAAGCATTGTCTTTGACCTGTCTCACAAAAAGATTTGGCAAGATGTTAGTGAAACGAGAAACACAAAAAAAAATAAAAAAAATATACATGTACGTATGAGTAATTGGATTTGTAACATCGACTACAGCGTTTATAGTAAAAAATATCAACAAAGATTTTGTCTGACTCAAGTTCTTCACCGTGGGGAAGAATTCTATAACCAACAAACATACATGTACATAGGACTTTTAAAGACTGAAAAAAATTCATTAATTTGTGTTGTTTTGTTTCGAAATCAGATCTCACTACCAAGACCTCGACCCTAAAGACATTGGAAAACCATCACTTTATGAAGGCACCACTACTGGTAAATATGATTGTCTTCTTATTTTTTTTTTATAAAGCTTCATTATTACAATTTGAAAAAGTTAGCAAAATTTATATCAACACATAACCATTTCCAAAAAATCCGGTTTTCACATTTTTTTATATGATATTTTTACACTGTTGTTTTTTTACACGTAAATAACTTACTCTTCGTGAGGAATGTGTTTCTCGGCAATTTGTGAAGATAATCCAGCTTGCAAATCTAAATATCTTATGTAAAAATATTCAATCATTTTTATGAAATGTGTAGATATAATATAATTAAATGCTACAAGTATAAAATATATATCAAATATCATGATATGGCAAACACGCGAATCTATGAATCTTTTGTCATATAGAGCATTTGTATGTATCTGATCATGCAAATTATCACAACCATGTGTTGAAATAGACAGATGTTTTACTTTAATTTCTTTTACAGCTGAAACAAACAATGCTGAAAGGTGAGACGACAAAATGTAAAAAAATAAGTAAAGTAGATCATATTTAAACGTTTTAAAGCAGTTCGCATAACTGATTTAACTGGTTTGTTTTTCTATAAATTAAAGATTTAATCTTCAAATTTAATAAAAAAAAAACGCAGTTCACAACACATTGATATTATTGTATATGCACATTAATACAGTGGTTTATTTTCATAGTAGAGGTCATTATCAAGAACTCGACCCAAAGGACGTAGGGATGCAATCATCATATGAAATCACTGCTAGAGGTAAATCTGGTGTAGTTCGACGGATACCAGCTGAAATATACTAACATAATACAGATCACATATACTATGAACAGCCATAACAGCCTTATCGTATCCTCTTGCTTACAACAGTCCGATTTATTTCCCTTGATAAGGAATATTTTCATACTATATATCATATTGTCCCCGGGTGTTCTTTTTAAATATTTGTGAAACAGGTTATCGATATTCACGACGCCATTTGTTAAAATATCCAGTTATTTTGCATTTAAAAAACATACCCCTGGTAATTTAATCTATGCATTATTAATTCAGTGAACATTTTGCCTATGGCTTACACATTTTTAGTGGCATACGGTTAGTAAATAATATAACAATAATAATAAACAAATATTAGTTGTGGGAATTTTTGTAATGATACAATGTTTTAACAACATGCCGTTATTGACATTAACTGTATATAGTAAAACCTCGATATCATGCCCCTCGTCTCTCAGATGCCACATCCTTAAACGCAAACATATTTCTTTTTTTGTCGTTTTTGGAAGAATTCATTTTCTCGTTTTCCTCAATTTATCGCAAAACCCCTTTATAAAGCCAAACATTCTCTGGATAAATGGTGGCAGTATAACGAGGTTTTACTTTAATTCGTTTTTTAAAGTTAACACTGATGTGGATAGCGATGCTGCAAGGTGAGATCATACATATGCAAATTTATTAATTGATCGAGATTCTGTAATTGTCCTTAAATGCTATAGAATAATTTCAGCACTTTTGAATTAATGTTAAATGTCACCAACAACTCAATCTTAAAGAAATGACTAAATACTTTGTCCTTACTTGTGGTTAGGAAAAAGCCTTAAAGGATCCCCGTACCATTGCGAACAAACTGTAACTCGACATTGGAAACTATTTTCCCGGTATGACTTTAGCTTTAATAGATCTTTTCTGAAAAGAATATAATATAAAAAAATCAATTCAACATTATCAACAGCAGTGTTCTGTGTGTTAATATTCACCGATGCTAGAGCGGGATTCCAGCCCTGACATTAGGATTGTTACAATATTGCCGGTTAAGCAACCCGATCCAATACTGCTACAGCTATAAACAAAACGAGGGAGATAACTCGTTATACGAAAATCCACCGTGAAAAAGGTATAGGGATCCTTTAACACAAAATGTATGTAAATCACTAACGTACAAACTTAAATATGACAACCACATTTGACAGGCGAGCTACTTTAAGTCCATATTTTCTGCCATGCAGAACTGTTTAAAATAACTGCAAGATTTAACCGATTCTGTATGGTTTTGCATTATTATTGATATACATCATTTGTAACAATATCTGTAAACTACATTTATCATATTACTCATATGTGAAGTATACACTAAGTTAAGAATTCACGTTTGAAACAGAACTATTTTTAATGTTACTAGGACCACAGACGATGTTAAATTGCGGATGTTATAAATCTTTTTCATATCCTACAGAGACCAATATGAATCTGGACAATCTACGCGACATGACTACAAAAATGTTACAGGAAAGAGAGGTAAACGCAATTCAATATCAATGTAAACTGGAGTTGATTAAATCAATAGAAATATACCTTTTAATCATTAGTTGTACATGTTCATCGCCTATCTGCTGTACGTATGTATTTGTAACTCATGTGACGATGAGAAATAATTTAATGTAAAGTGACGTCACAATTCACCATCACTAATTACATTTGATTAATATCTTCTCATCAAACGGGTGATCATGCGTTCGTACAGGAAAAGGGTACTTTGTCACTTTTTATGTGATTATGAAAAATCGGGTATATCTCTTGACATTTGTTTTAATTTAGTAGGTAAGATTGTTTTATCTGAAATCTACAGTTTTTTTGTTGTGTGTTGTTTTGTCCTGTATTATATTGAAAAATAAGAAATATCATATTATAAGAATTTCGTTTCACTTGAAACTAAATACCAACATTGAATAAATGAAAGCGACACTATCACTTTGGTTTCCGTTTCTAATAGCCCTTATTTGCTTTTCAGATACGAAATCTACGGCCCTTTACTCAAACACGTAGCATTTCTGAAGCAAATATCACATGATGATACACATTACCACAGGAGGGTGACATTTCATCGTCGCGACATTATATGTACTAAATTGTATAGGTTATTCATGACCGATGTTGCATTACAGTTTTTTTTATATGTATTTCTTATGCTATAATGTATGTGTTTTGTAATAAATTAAAAAACAAAAGAAAACAATTAATTGTTTCTAGCATACTGGACAGAAATGTTATTGTTGTAACATAGTTGTAAAGTACTTATATCTTTGTATACCTTAATGTGCAGCTGTCGAACAGGGTTTAACGACCTATCCACACCTAAGGTCATTTAAGGACGTGCCTTCATGTGTATTGTGTATGCGTACATGTGTGTATGTCTTATGTTGTTGAATGCTCATTGTACTCGATTGTGAAAATTATTCTAGTCAGAATTATTTTGACGTTTTATCGACTTTTTTTTTATATCGGTCTGTCAGTCGATTAATGTCAGAACTCCAGCCCTCTATAATATGCGGGAAATAAGCGACCTGTTTCAAAGATCCTTAAGAACAGTATTTTCCAACGTTTTCTATACCAACCCATGTTTTTAATGGAAATTTGGGCAAGAGCCAACACATGACTTGACGAGACCTCGCGTTACCGAAGGAATGTCCCAACGTTATGACGTAGGCCGTCAAGATTTAGTCACGTGGCATTAGAAGGCGGCGCTATCAAAACCGTAAAGTAAAACAGAGTAAGTTTGAAAAAAAATGTTTTTAGTGATTGCATTGGTTGTTTGAGGCATGTTATCAATGTTCATCTTGTGCATAAAGAATAGAACTTTCAATCCATGTGCGACATGTGTGTGAAACTGATACAGATCTGTTATATTATCATAAAAAAATCTTCTGTTGGCTGAAGGTCAATGGACCCAAATAACAAGTGTTCGTGACATGCTGTGCATTGCGGCTGGTCTTCGTTTTTTAATAAATAAGAATGGGTTATGTAGGAATGACCAATTCGGAGACGGGCAAGGATAACCTCGTCCCGGCGGTTTTCTCTATAGCTTGAATACCATATACCATTCACCGATTTTTGGTTTGACACCTGTANTTTCAAAAATCATTACGAACAATATTTTCCAACGTTTTCTATACCAACCCATGTTTTTAATGGAAATTTGGGCATGAGCCAGCACATGACTTGACGAGACCTCGCGTTACCGAAGGAATGTCCCAACGTTATGACGTAGGCCGTCAAGAATTTAGTCACGTGGCATTAGAAGGCGGCGCTATCAAAAACGTAAAGTAAAACAGAGTAAGTTTGAAAAAAAATGTTTTTAGTGATTGCATTGGTTGTTTGAGGCATGTTAAGTATGTTCATCTTGTGCATAAAGAATAGAACTTTCGATCCATGTGCGACATGTGTGTGAAAGTGACGATTTGTTTCTAAAATATTAGTTTGAAAAGCGACCCTGGCGCGGGTCGCTTATTTCCCGCATATTTTAGAGGGCCGGAGTTCTGACGTTATTCGTCGACAGACCGATTTAAAAAAAGTCGATAAAACGTCAGAATAATTCGGACTTAAATTATTCATGATCGATGAAGCATTCATAATAATTTGATGTGTTTCTTCTGTTACAATATGCAAAAATGATTTTTTAAATTAATTGAAATTGGTTCTATCATACTAAAAACAAATAATTTTGTTATAACAGTTATAAATCGCGAATGTCTTTTTATACATGAATATTCAGAACGCGATAATATGCGGGAGGCACACAAATAAAATCGTAGAGATACAGAGTATCGAGGGCTTTATTCTTTCTATACAACAATATCTCGTGAAAAAACTTTACTGTCAATGTGTAAATATATCAGTCAGAAAACACAACCGATGGATATCGACCACCTGTAACAGAAAGTAGAAAGAAAAGAAAGAATACAGGACAGAGAGGGAAAAAATCCCAAGTGTTGAAATGGGGACAGCACATCAATTATGATCTCTGCCATGTCCACTAAATAGAAGACATGGAAGAAACCACTCCCGATTCTGCATGGTTTGGCTTTATTTAGTATTGTTAAACGTCCTATCAACAGCTATGGTCATTTAAGGACGGCCTCCCCTGTGTGCTAGATGCGTGCGTGTAGTGTATGCGTGTGTGTTTTGGGAGGCTGCGATATGTTCGTGTTTGTCTACTTGTGATAGCACGAAACTGATGCCGACTTTATAGTGCTACCTCACTGAAACATACTGCCGCAGACACCCAGCAGCACACCCCACCCGATCACATTATACTGACAACGGGCGAACCAGTCGTCCCACTTCTAAATTGCTGAGCGTTCCGCAAGAGCAGAAACTACCATTTTTACCGACTCCGGTATGTCTCGGCCAGGGGACAGAACCCAAAGCCTTCCTCACAGAGGCGAAGGCCCAAAAAAAGGCCAAAAGTGAGGCATTGACAAGGAAGACATTAGGAAGAAAAATGTTCAGAAAGAAGAGAAAAGATAAGATCCCAAATTTAGTCGCTTCTTACGATCAAACAATGGGGGCAGCAGGTACAATTCTTACGCCCTACCTGCAGGGTGTCCGATTCCGTAGGGAGGGGGCTTTTGTTGTAAAAGGGAAAGCAGCTAATATACCACTGAGCCTCAAACATCAGTCACAGATTACGGTTACATGCAGTAAGGAACATTAGACCTGTTTTCCCCAACCCTGCAGAATTGTTTATGGACGGACGGAATCACGGACGGACGGACGACGGACTACAGACGCCGGGTGATTTGAATCAGATGGAGGGCTAAAAAGCTGTATGTCCAAAGAAGATTATGCCAAGTTTGAATGAAATCCCTTAATTGCTTTATAAGATACATTTGACACAATATTCATGATGAAAAGGGGACTCTAAGAAATGTTGGCCAATCTTCACGACATGCAAAGGGCACAACATCCCATAATATAAAAGTGTTATGATGAGTTTGAGAGAAATCCTTTCAAAAAAAATAAAAATATTTCGAGGTTCTTATCAACCGCTTTATCACACCTAGCTCGTAGGCCGTCTCAACGCGGTTCACAAATATGTATTCGTGGTTACTGGGTCTTTGCAACCAGGTGATTTCTGTCTCAATTTCCTGGGGAGCATACAACCAGTGATGCCATTTCGGCGCTCACATGTTATATTCATCAATTCCAGCACTGTCACATTAAGTACTCATTATCACCTGAGTAGACTGGAACAAGTAAAGTATCTTATTTTGTTCAACGATACAACACAGTGCGGTGGCGTGACTCGAACCCGTAACCCTTCGCTCACGAGCCCGGCGTCCTACGACTTGACTACCGTGCCTCCAATAGGTGAAATAAACCGGGTTATATTCGGGATGACAAGTTATACAGTTGTGGGATCACACAACGTTACATGATGTGCGGTGTGCGCACGATGTGTGCACTAAGTGCGAACGATAAGAAATTGGACGATCATTGCTTGAGCACACTTGTGCGGACGATGGATGAACGTTGTGCGATAACAATCGTGGTTGGTGTGAATTGAGGAATGCCTTAACAATATATACTGTTTCCTGCATGTGTTTAAACACATAAACTTGATTATTTAGTATGTTTCTATATTCTAGCTACATCTAAAAGCTTATATTTCTCTCTATACGTTCTTAAATTTGGAAGTGGTGTTCTCGGTGTTTTTTAAATAACCTAAATCGACACATGTAAAATTACAACACGGTCTCGGCAATACAGGTAAACATAGCCACTTTGTACCTGTACATGGACCGTAGTTATCCCTCGCCCGGGGCACTTACGTAACTCGCCCAGGTGTGAAAACCAGATGAAGGGGAGCTATAGACCAAAACGAATGCAAATAACAAACAAATACTAAACGTCCGGTTATGTTTTCAAAACGGTCATACGGTATCACATATCAGCTCTGTCAGGCGCAGGCCAGGTAAAACTCCGGTCACTCATCAAATTGATATTTACCTGTTCTGTTACCTAGGAGCTAGACCCATTCTTGACAGTCTAACGGTCACTTTAACACTGTGTAATACGCATTGTTAAATTGTTCATAATCTTAATTATTGTGATGAGAAATGACAGTAATATATACAGTGTACATTATTGCTTACGAGCCTTCCGTATTTTTTTCATTCCGTTATATTGATCAACAAATTGTTCCAAATCGCACAGTTGTGCGCACCATGTGTGGACGATGTGCGGACGGTGTGTGAACGATGTATGCACGGTTTGCGCACGGTGTTTTTCGTGCGTTGTGCGGTCACACAACTGTACCTAAAGGAGCATTACTCTAAGATATTTTGTCCAAATTAACGACGAGTAACACACAGTTTACCGACAGTTTAAACATGTATTTATTTTACCTTTAAATAAGCAGGTAAGCTAACAACCGATTACTCTTACCTGGAGATGACATGTCCAAGGATATGTTTCCCCATTTAACGCAAGAAATAATTTTTGTGTACCTGATATTTTGAACTTTCATACCTAACGTTATAGATTATAATATGTCTGAGGTAACAATTATTATTAGTATTATTATATTCGTAACGGCCCATCAACACATAAGAGGTCATTAGGGCCAAAACAGTAGACAGAACATGTTAAAGGAAAAACATCAAACGAACAAAAAGGTAAAAGACAAGTCAACTTGAATACATTGTAAAAGTGGCTATGATTTAGTTATATGTTTCTGAACAGATCGACCGTTTTTAGATACATGTAGTTTGGAAATTGTAGAGATACTGACTTTTTCGAACAGTGATTACAGATTTGTTATCTTATCATAAAAAAAAATCTTCTGTTGGCTGAAGGTCAATGGACCCAAATAACAAGTGTTCGTAACTTGCTGTGCATTGCGGCTGGTCTTCGTTTTTTAATAAATAAGAATGGGTTATGTAGGAATGACCAATTTGGAGACGGGCAAGGATAACCTCGTCCCGGCGGTTTTCTCTATAACTTGAATACCATATACCATTCACCGATTTTTGGTTTGACACCTGTAGTTTATTGTCTACGCGTTGATTCCAATTATTTTGCCACAGAAACTTGACTTGAAGATATTAGTCCATTTCAAATGAATTTACCTGTATTTTACCTATAGTAAGCGACGCCTCCAGATATTGATGGTGTTTATAATAAAAAGGCAAAATACATAAGAATTATAAACGATATAAAGAATTCTAGCCCACCATCATCAGATGGTGTATTATTCAATCCACTCTTTTGTCCGAGATCCGCCCGTCCGTTCTCAAACAATTCTTCAAACAATTAGAGCTATTTCTGGAGGGTCTTTTTCAAGTTTCACATGGTTGATTCCTATGGTCCCTTATTATGCATATCGAATTTTGGTATTAATCACAAAACCAAGATGGATGGCTGGCAGGAAGACGTCTTCGATTTTGATAGTCAAGGTTTATTATCTATTTTTCGGGAATTACCAGAAGGATCTTTCTCAAAGTTGATATATTAGTTACCCCTTTTGTCCTTTTGTTGTGCATATTTTTTACTTGTTGGACCGAGCAGAAGAATAAGATTCTGGATTTAAGAGTCAAAGTTTGTTATCAATATTTCTCAAAAGGCACTCAACAGATCTTTCTTAGATTTCATTGCAATCATTTTTTATTTTGAAATGTCAAGAATATTTTCACTGCTCGTAGGAAATATTGAATATATCATTCTCGTATTGCAATGCACGGTTCTATTTCTTTCACACTAAGTACTGTACTAGTAAATATGTGAAACAAAAAACTCATTATCTATGTTGTCTTGTATACATACATGTAGCAGCAAGAAGTTAAGATCAAAAGGTACCTGTATTTACTGTTTACATAACTCAAACAGATAAGAAAAAAGAAGAGAAAAGATCGAACTGACATGGAACTAATGGAGATAGTACGATGATTGGCGCCAAGATCCCTCAGGGACCTGTCGGTATAATTTAGGAATGCCTTTATCGTGTTTTATCGTTATGTTTGTGCTGATATGTATGGAGGGTGAAAAGGGCCAAACTCCCAAGTTAATATTTTCATTCTTATTTTACTTTTATTATTATTATATCTAATCATTTTGACAATTTTTTGTTTGTTTTTATTATTTGTATTCTTTCACTTTACCATCATATAATTCAATAAATATTATATTACTTACAAATATTTTAGAATCTTCATTCCTATACTTTAACAATCAAAATCCATTCTAGCATTTCCTAGATTATTTTTTGTTTTAAAATTTTCATTTCTTTCCTGTGATGAAATAGATTCCCTTTGTAATTATATTGTTTAATCTTGAATTTAAACTTAAATATTTAACTATTTTAGAGGTATTGTCACATTTAATTAATTTATGGCTGTTTCTATTTTGCGATTTTTAATTGTAATGTATTTTCTTTATTTAATATTTTAAGTTTAGCTTATGTTCAAAATTTAGATTTTTTCACCTATATGACCTATATGATAAACACATTAAAAACGAAACTGACAAATTAATTTAAATGTTATATGAAATGTGAAAAATAAGAATAAAAATAAATATAAAAAAATAAATATAAAAAAATAAAAATAAAAAAAATAAAAATTCAAGGTTAGAATTATGACACAAAAATCGGTATTTTATTTTTCAAAATAAATATTATTGCAGGCGGCAAAAAAAAAATTACAATATCGGAAGTAAAGGACCGCTCCTCTAACCGCTCTAGGCCTACCATAAGCGGAACTGGAAGGACAGAGTTGGAATACGACAAGTTGGCGGACCCAACTTTTTGCCCTTGCATAGTCATCACATGTACGTATTATGTGAAATATGGGTATTTAATCAGGGACGTATATGACGTATAGGGATTGGAAGCTCTCAAACAGCGTTAGCAAATTTCCACAACATGTTGCATGGAATCTCGCGAGATCAGGTCCTTACAACCAGCATGTTATTTGTATGTGTTGATATTATGATGTACATGTCCTGTGGTGTGAACTTTACCTGTGATGTCTACCTGTCTTTACCTGTATAATAGTATAATATCCCATGGAGTGGTTCTGTAGGGTCCAGTGTGTTATTGTTTATATTCTATTTTCATTGGTCAGATATTTTGTATAGATTTCTGTTTTCATTGGTCAGTCTAATATTGGTAACTTTTTCAGGAGGGATTTCTTTGTGTCAGTTTTGTGAAAGATTTTGTGAGAGAGCAGACATTTTGATTTGGACACAGACACATACATCTTTTGACAGTAAGTTTCTCTCTGATTTAATATTAATAATTTCTTCACATTTAAAGTAAATTGGGCTAGGGTTTTAGCTAATTTAAATATATTGGTAGTTTCTAAATAATTATTAAATGGAATTTATTTATAAGTATGTTAGGTTTAAAGAATTGACCAAGTAAGATGTATTTCTTATATTTAGTGTATTTCATGTTTGAATCCTCATGAATATTATTACACTAGAAAGAACAACAATGTGTACTAAAGTATATATATCTATGTATTGACATTTACCAGTTTTAAGAGATTGGTTGTATCTTATTTATAGAAATATTCAGTACTAAGTGATTAGCGGTTTGATGACATCGGTTTCCTAATTCCTGGCTCTGTGCCATACACAGGTGCGTGATATGTACATTTTATAAATTTATATTTCCATGAAAGCTATATTCTAATTTTAGTTGTTTAAGTTAGGTTTAACATTTTCTTTCATATTTCTTTTGAATTAATTAACAGTAGATTACTATGTAACTATTTGTAATGATATATAATTGAGAAAGAATAATTGTAAAATATTGTAAAGTAATTGCCATGTATGCTGTGTAATTATAACAGTATGAAATAGTAGGCAGTACAGTAATTAGTTTGTAAGAATTATGTCCCTTTAGTATATGTGTGTTGCGTTGTGCTAAATGTAGTCTTTTGTGTTTGTTTACAGACTGTATGTATCTACCGATACACATATAGAATGTTGAACCATGTTATGTCTGTGCTGTGGAATTGGAATAAATATGAATCTTTAAGAACTCTTGGTTATTTGTAAAACCACCCCGCTATATAGGCACTTTTAATTTTTGTCACTCTTTCTCAATTACCTAAACCAGACGATTTTATCACATGTAAAAGTTGTATGCTAATATTTATAGCATGATATATGACATCAGCGTATAACTCGGACACATTTATCTTATCGGTTGATTATTTCATTGTTGGCGTTTTCAGTTCTTTATCTTCCTTAAACATGCAAACACATATCTACTGTTACGGGTAGACTAATGTGATAAAGGTCACAAAAACAGGGTTATAATACAGTGCAATCCTATGCAATGTTTATGGTTCTTTCCTTTCGTTCTGATGTCTTCTCTTGTCCCAATGTTGCCATGTTTTCACCGACGTTTGTGTTCATATTTCGTCCTATTGTAAATCAGATGTGGAAAATTCTCTATTTAAAACATTACCGAGAAAGACTCTAGGTGTTTTAAGTTCAGTGTAGCTGTAATCACAGATAAACACACACGTAATTGTCGAAGAGATAACGCATCTGTTACAAAAGATAATCCTTGTTTATTTTGTGATAACACACACATTTATAGGACAGGATGCAAGGATGTGATAGCTTATTCAACCGTTAATCATTATAGAGTTACAGAAAACTATTCATAATTAATTATCACACTTATAATCTGATAAACTATATTGATATTTATTTGGTTATATACAAGTTAAATATTATTGCAGTAATAAAGCCAATTTACAGACCGTGTACATTTAGGCGGTATTTAATGCTATGATAAAGCGACGCCATTCTTGCAATCGCGATGTCGTTTTAGCTAGCGTTTTCTTATTGATGATTTCAGGTAGCAAATTTGACATTGATATGTGTTAACAATGTAGTCAAGACAGCATACAATATACTTGAGTACGTTTGCACAAATATGTACTAGTCGATACACATTTGCTTCAACATTTAAACTTTATTTTCACTAATAAACAACTTTTAAAATATTTATTTATCAATACGAACTTGAGCTCCTCTCATTGCAGCATCGTATGGTTCCTTTTGTAGATCTACGATTCTAGAAACTGTTGATACACCAGAAGGACTACACACGGCTCCTCGTTCAGAAAATGAAGTCTCCAAAAAATCACTGCTGTCATCAAATTCAGAACCCTTTTGTAGATCCACGATTCTAGAAACTGTTGATACACCAGCAGGACTACACACGGCTCCTCATTCAGAAAATGAATTATCCAGAGAATCACTGCTGTCATCACATTCAGGACTAGTATCTTCTGTACCTGACGAAGTGATTCGTTCTAAACATGCTGATGTATTCCTTTCTATGCATGCTGAGGGATTGAGTCGTCGGATATTTTCCCCGCATGTCTTTACTATAACGAGTACCACAGCCTATGGAAAACATATGAACGAAAAAGTATCAAGCAATAGTGATGCCATTTGTGTCAATTATTCTGTGTTTTGTCAATGTGAATAGAAATTGCAATTTTTTCACATTTTGTTTAGAAATTTATCAATTAAAATGATAAAGATGGTTTTCTTTTGTTCATTCGTCAAAGTGCAACTCCCTTTATCCAAATCCCTGCAGGTAGGACGTAAGAATTGTACCTGCTACCACCACTACATGATCGTAAGAGGCGACTTAATTTGGGATCCTATATTTTCTCTTCTTTCTAAACAACTTTCTTTTTCCTAATGTCTCCCTTGACAAAGCCTCACTTTTAGCCTTTAGTTGGGCGTTCGCCCCTGTGTGGAATGCTTTGGGTTCTGTCCCCTGGCCAAGACATACCGGAGTCTGTAAAAATGGTAATTTATTATCCTGCTTAACGCTCAAGAGTGGGACGACTGGTTCGCCCGTTGTCAGTATAATGTAACCGGCCTGGTGGGGCCTCCTGCTGAGTGTCTTCGGCAGTATGTTTCAGTGAGGTAGCACTATAAAGTCAGCATCAGTTTAGCGCTATTACAAAGAGACAAACAAGAACATATCGCAGCCTCCCAAAACACACACGCATACACTACACATGCATCTTGCACACAGATAAGGCCGTCCTTAAATGACCATGGCTGTTGATAGGACGTTCAACAATACTAAACCAAACCAAACCAAACGAAACCCTTTATCCAATTGTTTAGAAATATAATTTTCCTCCTATTCATTAATAGTACATGTTAATATAATTGTATGTTACGTATTCCAGGATATAAACTTTCGTTACCTGTATAACTGTGTAGCAGCCGGATATAATATTCAGGTAATAGGAGATACCCAGAGATGTGAAAGATAGAGACTGCATCCTTTCCCTGACTACTGCACACGCAGCGACGTTAAGGACACCTTGGAATAATAACGATAGCAATAAAACGCATTACTGACATTCAGTAAACAAATTTGACTTCTAAATATAAATTCAAAAATGACTTAGTCCTGACCATTTTTTTGAAGATGAGTTGTAAGATACAAGTTGGAAGACTATGCTGGTGGAATGTTTAGTTTCCGAGGTTTGCCGTTACCTTGATGGCCACAATATTCTTTGGCATGCTTCATAATAATTACTCAAGTAATACATTTGACATTTACCAGTGCTCTAATTCATGAATTAATGTCATCTCTCCTTTTGTTTCTATTATAGTTTGACCTGAATGGATTTCCAACGTTTTTGTCCCTTGTATCATCGATAAGTTCTAAAATGCCGAAACAGTTGCATGAAGCAGTGGGATTCATTTTTGTCTTTCTGTATCTATTACTAAATTTGAAAAGTGCAATCACCTGTATGTGTGGTTGTGTGTGTGTGTGTGTGTGTTACGTTAATCTTATAATTTACCTCCTGCAAAATATAACAATGCTGCAATTCCTGTATATTTGTCCATGTCAGCTGAAGAACATGCAGCCTTGCATTTGCCAATGACAATGCTGCAAACAGCAAAAACGTTGCATAGTATGGAAAAGCTCTCCAAGGAACCAAACGGGCAACCTCCTATTGTTGGTGAAAAATGTATCAATATTCACTTCATAAGATTGCATTGGTAAGGTAATACTAACAAGCATTCTGTGGGTATTGATGAACCAATACATGTCCCCTACCAGCCCCCCAAACTTTAACCTGAAGATTTTGGCAAGGATAGTTAAGTCCAAAACATGTGAAAAAATCCCCAAAAAATAAAATGATTTTCCATTTTCAATCCACAGCATTAATGCGAGACCCCTAAATAACCTCTATGCTAAGAATCAGCATCCTAATATCATTATTAAGTGAATGGTAAGCCATTACAAAACTTTAACCCAAACTTTAACCTGAACATTTTGGCCAGGATAGTTAAGTCCAAAACATGTCAACAATTCCCCGATTTTGTTTTATTATTTTCCATTTTCAATCCACAGCATTAATGCGAGACCCCTAAATAACCTCTATGCTAAGAATCAGCATCCTAATATCATTATTAAGTGAATGGTAAGCCATTACAAAACTTTAACCCAAACTTTAACCTGAACATTTTGGCCAGGATAGTTAAGTCCAAAACATGTCAACAATTCCCCGATTTTGTTTTATTATTTTCCATTTTCAATCCACAGCATTAATGCGAGACCCCTAAATAACCTCTATGCTAAGAATCAGCATCCTAATATCATTATTAAGTGAATGGTAAGCCATTACAAAACTTTAACCCAAACTTTAACCTGAACATTTTGGCCAGGATAGTTAAGTCGAAAACATGTCAACAATTCCCCGATTTTGTTTTATTATTTTCCATTTTCAATCCACAGCACTAATACTAGACCCCTAAATAACCTCTATGCTAAGAATCAGCATCCTAATATCATTATTAAGTGAATGGTAAGCCATTACAAAACTTTAACCCAAACTTTAACCTGAAGATTTTGGCCAGGATAGTTAAGTCGAAAACATGTCAACAATTCCCCGATTTTGTTTTATTATTTTCCATTTTCAATCCACAGCACTAATACTAGACCCCTAAATAACCTCTATGCTAAGAATCAGCATCCTAATATCATTATTAAGTGAATGGTAAGCCATTACAAAACTTTAACCCAAACTTTAACCTGAAAATTTTGGCCAGGATAGTTAAGTCGAAAACATGTCAACAATTCCCCGATTTTGTTTTATTATTTTCCATTTTCAATCCACAGCACTAATACTAGACCCTTAAATAACCTTTATGCTAAGAATCAGCATCCTAACATCATTATTAAGCGAATGGTAAGCCATTACAAAACTTTAACCCAAACTTTAACCTGCAGATTTCGGCGACGGACGGACGGACTCAGACAAAACCTATAGTCCCCCCGGTTTCACCGGTAGGGGACTAATAAAAGGTTAACAAGTCGATGCACTTATCCTTAAACAAATATGCACAGATGCAAGCAAACATTACACACATAAAGGCGATAGTAGGACGTTTGAACCTTTAATAAAAAGCACAATAAGCACAAAAAGGAAACCTCTTTTTTTCATCAAATTACTGGGTAAATGCAGGTATTCTCAACGAGAAGAAGTGAGGCAAGGTTGAAGCTTTACCCTAATCATTTTGCGCGCGCTTATGTGCAGGATGAGGTTAGCAAAAGGAAGGTATGTATCAGTAATAAAAGAAAAGTGATATTGGTATTCCTATGTCCAAAAAGAAACAGAATGCCCATTTAAAAGGAAAGTTGATCACCACATCAATCAAAATATGACGTTTGCATATGCAGAAAAAAAAGATAAGCTATGCTGAGAACCGTATATAGATTACTTACTTAGAACATCACATGCATCACAAAAAAGCTTGTATGGATCCACACCATACGGTAAACAAGTTAAAGAACTGTTTTTATAAGTGCATGCAGAATAAGTTTACTGTGCTCGCAACGACAGTGGAATATCTGTATCTTAGTTAATTCACAGGAATCAAGTCGCATCCAAGTGTCGGCATACAGTCCATAACCTTGTAATGTCATACTCAGCACGACCGTACAACAAAACAAAGCAAGAAATCCACAACATTTCTTCATTGTCCTACCGTCAGTGAAAAAAATACAACTCCCTGCGTTGTTGATGAACCTTTTATAATGATTCTCTCCTGTGATTATTCTTTTATCTAGTGACAATCGCGTGTAATCGCAGTAACTGATAACAAGTTGCTGATTATTTTACTAACTTTTTCACATACATTTCAATAAACCTAGTAGCACTTGACCTTTTTCCTCTCTATCACCGTTAAATTTTAATCATACACATGTGCACGCATTATGAAAACAAGAGGCCCAAAGGGCCTGCATCGCTCACCTTGTGTTACTCTCACACTTGTACCATTCAAAGTGATCTAAAGTAAAGCTATAGGCAAAAAATCAATACTTATGACTGTTAATCATTCAAAAGAACCTATTGCAATATTTTTTAAATATTTAACTCCTGTGACCTTGAAAGTCGAACAATGTCATTAAAATGAGCAAACTTTAAAGCCCTTCACCTCAGAATGCAACTTGTGAAAAAAATCACTACCCTTGACCTTTGTCCATTGAGATTAGGTCATTTAAAGGTTTAAACATATTGGACCAAATGTGACCTTGAAAGTGGTTCAAGATCATTCAAATAAACAAGCTTGATAGCCCTTCATCTAAGCATGCAGCTGGCAAAATATCAACATACTTGACCTTGTGGTTATTCAGACGAAATCGTTGAAAGATTTTAAACAAATTTGACCCATTCGACCTTGAATATGGATGAAGGTCATTCATTTGAACAAATTTTGTAGCTCTTTATCCTTAACATGCTACTGACCAGAGAGTAACTGTCTCGGTCTTATGGTTATTCAGAAGAAGTCGTTTTAAGAATTTTCATATATTTGACCCCTGTGACCTTAAATTCAGTCAAGATGAAGATCTAATCATGTTACGGGCGAAATATCATCATCCTGTACCTTTTGGTTATTTAGAAGAAGTCGTTTCAAGGGTTCAAACATATTCGACCCCTGTGACCCTGAATATAAATCAAGGTCATTCCTTTGAGGAAACTTAGTAGCCCTTCAACCCACCATTGTACTGGCCAAATATCATTAGCCTGTGCCTTATGGTTATTCTGTAGAGGTAGTTTAAAGATGATTTTTAACATATGTGATCCCTGTGACCTTGAATAAAGGTCAAGGCCATTCATTTTCACAAACTTGGTAGCCCTTTATCCTAGCAAGTTACTGGCCATTTATTAACACCTTAGACCTTCTGGTTGTTCAAAAGAAGTAATTTAAAGATTTGAAACATATTTGACCCTGTGACCTTGAATTGAAATCAAGTTCATTCGCTTGGACAGATTTGGTACCCCTTTATCACAGCATGCTCCTGGACAAATATCATCATCCTGGACCTTTTTCAGAAGTCGTTAAAATAGTGTTAACATATTTGACCCCTGTGAACTTGAAATGGGCAATATTTTCTTTTTTTTATCAAACTTATTAAGGAATGCTTCTTGCTATATATCAACTTCCAGGGCATTATGACGTTATTCATAAGTCATTAAAATGTGTTAAACATATTAGAACCTTGTGACCTTGAATATATGTCAAGGTCAAACTTGAAAGACCTTTATCAAAGTATGCTTCTGGCCAAGTATCATTAGTCTAGGCCTTCTGATAATTAAGAAGAAGTCGTTTAAAGATTTTTAACATATTTGACCCCATTGACCTTGAATATATGTCAAGGTCATTCAGTGAAACAAACTTTGAAGCATTTTATCCCTGAATGATACTTGCCAAATATCAATACTCTAGACCTTCTGGTTATCCTGAAGAAGTTGTTCCAAAGTTTAAAACATGACTGACACCCTGTGATCTTGAAAATGGGCAAAGGTCATTCATTTGAGCAAACTTAGCAGACCTTCAACCCATTGATTAATAGCCTTTTTTGCAGATACAAATTTTTTTTGTGCTATTAAATCAATTTGGAAAGTTCATTTAATCAAAGGGAGGGCGTCAAAAATGGGCCCTCATTTGATTTAATTTTCTTTTCGTGAGGTGTAGACCTAAACCTGATCATAACAAAAACACCCATTAAAATTCAAATGAGCACTTACGAACAATGCATTAAGGGATCATCTATGATACAACCAACACAAGGCATCATTTGCTACAGTATACATAAAAAAAATCCCTTGCTATGGCGAGTTAACAGATATTTACAGACAAATCAACAGCCAGAAGCCATCTAAAGCAGACAAAGAATGTGTTCATCTTTTGTATACCAAAAACATTTTTATTGTAGAATGACTAAAGCCCCTTTCTCACAATCACGAATCTGAACACGATTTAACGTTTTTCCTTAAATCGTGTTAGAAAAAATGCAAAAATGTATAACACGATTTAAGCCAGCTGAAAAGTCGTGTTCAGTCGTATGAAGGTCGTATAACAGTCGTGTTCAATCGTATGAAGATCGTATTCAGTACGACTCCCATACGCCTGAACACGTTTTTTGCGTTTGTCATACGACCGGAAGAGCCTATCACGTCACTGAGTGAGAACGTGGGAAACCCCCTGAAAGTAAAAGCTCCTTCTACAGCCATGCCAAACCTCAGGCGACCAAAACGGAAGCTCCTCCAATCAAAACCTTCCAAAGGGAAACATCCTTCACCACCAACCATGGATGCACATCCACCCGGTACCCAGGGACAAGATGATCCAGCTGAAATCTCTGAACCACCACCAAATCGCTAACAACAAAAAACAACAACAGAAACTGACATGCAGCCCTCTCAGCAGCCATCTGAGCAGAAGGATAGTCCATCCAACATTTCATCACCATCACCTCCACCTTCATTGCGAGGAGTATGATAGAGTAGAAACCCTAATAGTTATAATTGAAAGAGCCTGAATTTCGTGGAAATTTTATAGATACATGTTTTCCAACTATTGCACCAAGAGAGTTATAAAAGTTCCAACTCGTTGCAAACTCATCAGCCACCTCCTTCCAAGCCTCTTCGTTTTTTGGTGTCGGCATTATCTCCTCTGCGTACTCCTGTGCAATAGCCTCACATGTTTCGTAGACAATCGTATAGATGGTATTAGCAGCCACTCTAAAATCATATTGAAGTGATCAGTAGGAGTCTCCAGTGGCCATATAACGCAGTGGTATAGCAAGGCTTTTCTCCAGAAGGTGTCCTTTTTCAATACAAGGACCAACGCGTTCCATGAACATCTCCGGAGTGACATGCAAGAAGTTGGTAAATGTATTCACATCTTCACGATACAATTCTTGCATTAGGTGTTCATACTGCCCATACTGAGGTCTCCTCAACAACCATGGTTGAACCCAGAATATTTTTCTGTTCCTCACTCTGCGACGCCTACGCTGCCTCCTACCCCTCACCACCAAAGCCATAGCTACCAGTAGTACTTCCTCCTCCTCCAAAGCTGCCCCTTGCGGGTCATGCTCGTTGTTGAACATGGTGAAGACTGACACAGAAATGTTGTTTCAATGCAGCTTATATACTACATGGCCCACGTGACCAAAATAAACAAAAATATGTCGTATGAAGGTCTTGCTCAGTCGTATGGAGGTCGTTTTTATTTTTGTAGTCGTATAGACATCGTAATGATTCATGTTTAATCGTATGGCGGTCGTGTTGATTCGTGTTAAGTCGTATGGGCGTCGTATGACAGTCGTGTTTAGTCGTATGGGCGTCGTATTGGGGTCGTGTTAAATGAGGTTAAATCGTGTTGTATATTACGAATATCTTATGACGGTCGTATGAGTATCGTGTTCAGTCGTATGAAGGTCGTATGAGGGTCCATTTTGGTTGTATGAGGGTCCATTTTGGTTAAGAAATTTGCATAAACCACAATGTCAAGCACGAATCAACACGATTTTTAAACTTTTCTTAAATCGTGTTCGCAATTTCTTATATCATGTATGTGAGATCGTCATGAACTACCAGTGACAAAAATATCAATCTAAAATATGTAATGGAACATATTCAAAGAAGGGATCAAATGACCATATGGTCTATACATCAGAATTCATTACGATGTGATAAGTCTAAGAATTATGACTGAAAACTTATAAAAATTAAAATTATTTGTTCCAGTTTAGATGGAATGAATATTTAATCAACAGAGAAAATGTTTGGAAAAGATTTGCTGTTTTGTCCGTTTTGATGATGGCCGCCAACAAATTCCTTCTACTGCCTAATCAGTTGTCAGATTCCCAGACAATTTTCTTGCAATATCAATGGAGTTCAGAGATTGTATGACGCCGTTAATGATAATGTTTTGCAAGATGCAAGAGTATTAAATGTGTTCGAATGGTAGACTTGGGGAAACGAAGGAAGAAACTAATGATTCGAGGCTTGAGTTTAATTTTAAACTGGTGATTCTCAATTCACAAGAAAACAACTTATTTCAAGCTTTGTCGGAACTTGTAAATCAAACTATACATTTTTCAAAAGTTCAAAATCTGAAAAATTCATTTAATGTAAAATATATAAATAATCACCTATTTAATTTACTCAGAGGCACTGTATTAACGCGGAACGAATATTTCAGATAGGGATTACAATCGTCTGAAACAATTGCTGATTGGCTGATTTAGTCGTTTCAGTCCTGAAACAAAAGTTATAACGGGGCAGACTCCTATGTAATTATAACATAGGTGGAAAAAGTCCCTTTCAAAAAATCTGCAACTACTTCACACTATGAGGCCATTATTATGAAAGAAGTACTTTGGTTTTGACTTATATGACATGAAAATGATGTCTGATCCTTTATCTATACGAAACAAGTGATCGATAATATATAGCTACAAGAACATGTCTACGTCAACAATTAATTACGTACATGTAAAGCTATCAGAAATAGGCAGATTACACAAAGTACAACATCGAGCGTCGTCCATTCAGAATATGCATGCGTGTTAGGTAAGCGGATGTCGCCATTACCTAGGTGATTTGAAGCTCCATATAATATTAGCAACTGTCGTTTTCCATGGACTCTATCTAAAACTAGAAATATATTTATTTAAAAAAATATTCAGCACCTGCATTTCCTTAAGCATGGAGATTGCAAGTTAAGTGGTCTGATACGGGTTTTGGGGTGTGATACGGCGGGGGCTGATACGGCTTTTGGGGTGTGATACGGCGAGGGCTGATATGGGTAAGAGCAATTGTGCCTTAACGGTCACCTGATATATTTATACAAAGAGTTTATTTTGTTTTTAACATGAACAGAAATATTATTCAAAGTGACAAAAACAATAAAACCACCTTATTCAATATCTAGCATATAGATTTCAGACTAAAAAGGATTTGAAACTAGCACCTCTGATTCTAAACAAGGAAAATAATGAAATTTTAGCACACTGCCTCCTTTGGACCCTACCCTACCGCCCTTGGGGGTAGGGCTGGCTAAAAAATTTCAAAGTATCAAACTGTCAACTCAAGGTTATAATTCCAATCAAGTTATTTACATGTAATATTCAAAGTATCATTTGCCATTATAAACCATAATAAATTTTGCCCCCCCCCTCCTTCCCCAGGGGATAAACGTGAGACCCTAGGGTCATAAACCTTAAGACCCTTCCATCTATGATTAGTATTTGATTCTACCATATCTTGGTCTTTGAGAAGAAGATGTTTGGAATTTCAGTCAATTCAACACTTTTTGGCCCCACCCATCAGCCCGGGGGGTCAGTCAGGGCTGATATGTGCATACTATCAAACTGCTAACTAATACTGATAATGCTAACCTTAATTGAATTACTTCCAATGGAAATTAAACAAATGTTGGTCCAAAATGTGATTTCCCTATATAAACTATAGTAAAGTTTACCCCCTCCCCAGGGGGAAACGTGAGACACCAGGGTCATGAAATTCACAATTCTGGTTAAGCACCTTAAGACCCTTCCATCTATGAAGAGTATTCGATTCTACCATATCTGGGTCTTGAGAAGAAGATTTGACCCTTTCTGGCCCCGCCCCTCAGGCCCCTGGGGGTTTGGGACTAAACCGGCTACTATTTTTGTTGACCTTTGTCCATGAAAGATTCCTGCAAAATTTCATTGAAATTAGTTCAGGGGTTTTGGAGAAGAAGTCGAAAATGTAAATTGTTTACGGACGCACGACGGACGACGCCGGACAAAAGGCGATCGCAATAGGTCACTTGAGACTTTGTCTCAGGTGCCCTAAAAATCCGTATTTATTAGTAAGTATGTAATAAACAAACATATCCTACCTCAAGTATACTACACATAAAGGCATGTCCTTCAATGACTTTAGCTATTACATTGTAATAGAACGTGAAACAAAACACTGTAAACCAAACTTGACTAAATCATGCAAAAGACGCTAGCCTTTCCACCTGGTCTCATTATACTGACATGGGATTCGATAAATGACCTAATATAAGCTATTTAAAGTACCTTAAATAAAATAAAACAAACAAGAGACCCAATGGGCCTGCATCGTTCACCTGGTATAAATCTCAGAATTGTTACCTTAAAATTTGGTTTGGTGTAATTTTGTTTAACGTCCTATTAACAGCTTAGATAATTTAAGGACGTGCCTCCGTGTATTAGTGGATGCGTAGATGTGTGTTTGTCTGCAAAAAGAAAGAACAATTTTTCGAAATAAAAAGAAGTTAATTGAATGACATCTCCAATATGATAAAGCTGTTAAAGATGTAAGGTGCTGTGTAATATATTATATTTTTGCACAACGTGTCGATTACCAAATTATATAGGAGCGGTCACATGTATGTCTTAATTCATATAATAGCATTGCATCACATTTTCCTGTCATGGAATTAAAGGATACGTATTGCTGATGATGAATATTACAAATTTCCTTTAACATAGTGTCTTGAGATATTCTGTTGTTGATAATCTACAAATTCATAAACATGGGTTCAGAACAATTCACCGCTACGGTAACGTGATGTCATTATACTGCCATTAAATTCCCTTTTTCCATTTATTTTTCAACACTTTGTGTCACGTATATTCACGATTCATACGTGATTTATCCGTGGAAGTACACATGCACTCGTTTGGTAAAGTGTGTACTCGTAAGCTTGATGACAGTCCTGTTTTTCTTATCAGTCGCGAAATGTAGCATGCAACACTACAGACCAAGAGGATTCTACATATGAAAGAGAAAGAACGATCAAATACTTCTAGAGATATATTGAAGACAGACTGAACCCTCAAAAACCAAGATGGATGAATGGCTGCTATTTTGTGTTATCGATCAGATCAATATAAAACATGAATAACCAAGGAAATATAAAAAAAAGTACTTCCTGTGAAACAAACGGCAACAAAGTTGAACTTTTCAAATCAAATATAGCTGCCTTGCGGCCATTTGGTTTAAACTAATTAATCTCGTAATGAAACCTGCACAACAAAATACCAAGGGACACATTCCTATGGTTTGGTTTTAGTTTGGTTTAATTTTGTTTAAAATCCTATTAACAGCTAAGGTCATTTAAGCCGGTGCTTCCATGTGTGTAGTGCTTGCGTGTGTGTATGCAGGAGACCGGGTATGTTGGTCTGCTTACCCCCTTGTGATAGCGCGGATCTGATGCCGACTTTATAAAACTATCTCACTGAAATACCATGCCGAAGCCACCGAGCACAGCATTTCGCACGGTCACATTATACTGACAACGGGTGAACCGGTTGTTGCCATTCCCCTTAATGCTGAACGTAAAGCAGGGAATAACAACTTTACTAACTTCATTATGTCACTGTCTTGGGACAGAACCCATTGCTCTCCGACCTGGGCGAACGCTCAACCATCAGGCCAAAAGTGAGGTGTTGCCAAAGCAAAGCGCTAGGAAATTAAAGGCAGTTAGAAATAGAAAGAAAGATAAAGATCCCAAATATTTCAATAGGCGCAGCAGATTTATTGTGTTCGTTTTCTGTCCCCAAAGCAAATCCCAAATTTTGCAGGTGGGTAACAGGTGTATTCTTTTCCCGATACCCAACCCGCAGGTGTGTTATACCGACAGAATAAATCGAATCCCTCTACAAAATTGATAAACTTGCTTGTTTTATTATACAGACAGCAGCTTTTGATTTCCTTAACAAAAACGTGGTACATATTTTATTACGAAATGTCTTTTATACTTTATTCAGAGAGTCATGATAAATTCCCTGAACACAGTTTGTCAACTATGCTGTTATAAAATGTATCAAACATAAGCGAAAGAGTAATACCATCCACTGTGGAGTTATAATAAACAAAACTGTAAACTCATGAATTTAAGGCAGAGGCAAAACTTGGTTGAATCGTACTTCAATTATTTTTTATGTCTTTGTTGATTTCGCATGTTGTTTTTGACTAAGAAGGGGCGGGGAGGAGGATGTGGATATTTTCTTTGAACTTGGTCTGTCGCCTTTGGCTGATATATTCACAGATAGACTACTCATGTGTGCAACATCATTGCAGCTTATCAACACAACAAAGAGACGTAAGGTCATTATGTCAACCCATTTTGCTAAAAATCAGGATTAAGTACTTTCCTAGGAAGTCTGTAAGTCTTATTTAAGCACTTTTAATTTTTGTCACTATTTCTTAATTACGTAAACCAGACGAATTTTATCTCATGCAAAAGTTGTATGATATTATATATAGCAAGATAGATGACATCAACGTATAACTCGGACAGATTTATCTTATCTGTTGATTATTTCATTGTTAGCGTTTTCAGTGCTTTATCTTCCTTAAACATGCAAAAACATATCTACTGTTACGGGTAGACTAATGTGGTAAAGGACACAAATACAGGGTTATTATACAGTGCAATCCTATTCAATGTTAATGGTGCTTTCCTTTCGTTCTGATGTCTTCTCTGGTCCTAATGTTGCCATGTTTTCATCGACGTTTGTGTTCATATTTCGTCCTATTGTAAATCATATGTGGACAAATCTCTATTTAAAACATTACCGAGAAAGTGTTTTAAGTTCAGTGTAGCTGTAATCACAGATTAACACACACGTAATTGCCGAAAAATAACGCATCTGCAAAAGATAATCCTTGTTTATTGTGTGATAACACACACATTTATAGGATAGGATGCAAGGCTGTAATAGCTTATCCCACCGTTAATGATTATAGAATTACAGACGGGTATTCATAGTTAATTATCACACTTTTAATCTGATAAACTATATTGATATCTATTTGGTTATATACAGATTGAATATTACTGCAGTAATAAAGCCAATTTTCAGACCGTGTACATTAAGCGGTTTTAATGCTATGGTAAAGCGACGCCATTTTGGCCTTCGCGATGTCGTTTTAACCAGCGTTTTCTTATTGATGAATTCAGGTAGCAAATATGTCATTAATATGTGATAACAATATATACAAGACAGTATACTACAATTTACTAAATATATGCACAAATATTTAGGAGTCGATACACATTTGCTTCAACATTTAAACTTAATTTACTCTTATAAATAACTTTTAAAATATTTATTTACACATCAATATGGACATGAGCTCTTCTGATTGTAGCATACTTTGGTTCCTTTGGTAGATCCACGATTCTAAAAACTGTTTATACACCAGCAGGACTACCCACGGCTCCTCGTTCAGAAAATGAATACCTGCTGTCATCAAATTCAGGACTAATATGTTCTGTACCTGACGATGTTATTCGTTCTAAACATGCGGATGTATTCCTTTCTATACTTGCTGAGGGATTCAGCGGTCGGATATTTTCCCCGCATGTCTTTACTATCACGAGTAGCACAACCTATGGATAATAATGAATGAATGTCTAGTAATAGTGATGTCATTTGTATCATTTTTTCGGTGTTTTATCAATTAAATCGAAATTGCAATTGTTTCATTTTTTTTTAAAGAAATTTGACAATTAAAATGATAAAGATGTTTTTTTTGTTAAATTGTCAAAGTACAACTCCCTTTATCCACTTGTTTAGAAATATAATTTGCCTCATATCCATTAATAGTACATATAAAATGATAATGTAAAATGTCGTTACCTGTATAATTGTGTAGCAGCCGGATATAATATTCAGGTAATAGGAGATACCCAGAGATGTGAAAGATAGAGACTGTATCCTTTCCCTGACTACTACACACGCAGCGACGTTAAGGACACCTTGGAATAATAACGATAGCAATAAAACGCATTACTGACATTCAGTAAACAAATTTGACTTCTAAATATAAATTCAAAATTGACATAGTCCTGGCCATTTTTATTTAAAGATGAGTTTTAATATACAGGTTGGAAGACTTTGCTGGTGGAATTGTTAGTTTCCGAGGTTTGCTGTTACCTTGATGGCCACAATATTCTTTGGCATGCTTCATAATAATTACTCAAGTAATATATCTGAAATCTACCAGTGCTCCAATTCATAAATTCTATTTTTGTATTCGTCTCTCCTTTTGTGTCTATTTTAGTGTGAACTGGGTGAGTTTACAACGTTTTGGCCCCTAGTATCACCGATGGGTCCTAGAATGACGAAACAGTTGCATGATGCAGTGGGAATCATTTTTGTTTTACTGTATCTATTACTAAACTTGAAAGGTGTGTGTTACGTTCATCTAATAATACTTTAATACTGATGACTTACCTGCTGCAAAATATAACAATGCTGCAAATCCTGTATAACTGTCCATGTCAGCTGAAGAAGAACATGCAGTCTTGCATATGCCGATGGCAATGCAGCAAACAGCAAACATGTTGCATAGTATGGAAAAGCTTTCCAGGTAGCTGAACGGTTCACTAACTGTTGATGAAAAAAATATATCAATATTCACTTCATAAGATTGCATTCGGTAAGGTAATACTAATAAATTCGATGTACTTATCCTAAAACAAAAATGCACACATGCACGCAAACATAACACACATAAAGGCGACAGTAGTACGTCTAAACTTTTAATAACAACCAAAATAAGCACAAAATGCAAACCCCTTTTTACATCACAACACTGGGTAATAGCAGGTATTCTCAACGAGGGGAGGTGAGGTTGAAGCAGGAAAGGGTTCGCAAAAGGAAGGTGCGTGTCGCTAATAGAAGAAAATATAAAAGATATGGGCAACTTATATTGGTAATCGTATGTCCAAAATGAAGCAGAATGCCCATTTAAGAAGATAGAGGATCACCACATCAATCAAAATGTAAATTGTTCACGTTTTGTTTAAACATTGAAAAATGATGTTTACATATGAAGGTTTCCGTATATAGATTACTTACTTAGAGCATGACATGCATCACAAAATAGCGTGTATGGATCCACACCATACGGCAAACAAGTTAAAGAACTGTTTTTGTAAGTTCCTGTAGAATTAAATTTGCCGTCCTCGCACCAACAGTGGAATAGCGGTATCCGAGTAAATTCACACGAATCAAGTCGTATCCAAGTGTCGGCATACAGTCCATAACCTTGTAATGTCATACTCAGAAGGACCGTACAACTCAACACACCGAGACATTCATAACATGTTTTCATTGTCCTAATGTCAGTGAAAACAAGTCAACAACTCCTTTCGTTGTTTATGTACGATATAAAATGATTCGCTTTTTTGTTATGCTTTTATCTAGTGACAATTGCGTGTAATTGCAGTAACTGATAACAAGTTGTTGATAAGTTGCTATCTTATTCACATACTAACGCATGGGTGTTGACATTTTAACAAACCAAGTAGCACTTGACCTTGTTCCTCTCTATCACCGTGTCATTTCGATCATATGCATTATGTAAAAAACGATATAATTGCATTACCGAAATGCCGCAAAATATAAAACTCATAGGACCTCAATGTTACATGGAAAGTTATATATGTCATACATATGTAGATAGCAACGTCTACTAATCGTTCTTGCTATCCTGATAACCTTAAATTATCGCCATTTGTTCAATTTCCCATGTTGCTTTCCGCAACCTTATTTTAAATTGTCTCTTTCTATGAATTCCTTTTAACGTTACCCTAAAATATCGAAAAATATATTTTATAACGAAATAATTTCTCTGGGCAATTGCTGCCCATACTATGAGGTTTCATTGCAAAATAGGATGTGGTTGGCTGGTTGTACAGCATTTAACGTTCTATTAATAGCTAGTCTATCACAGATCATTAAAGGACGTGCCTCCATGTGTGATGTGAATGCATGCTCGGGTGCCAGAGTTTGATGGTGTATTTACATCCTTGCGCTAGCGAGGATCTGATTCCGACTTAATTGACAAATGGGGCGCTACGTCACAAAATTGTGAACTTAATTGACTGCATATTTTGTAGAATTAAATGTTTTCTTCTTTGCTATTGAATTAATTTGAAATGTTCATTTTGTCAAAGGGACTATATCCAGCTATGTTAAAATTAAATAGGAGCCTGCCCCCCCCCCCCCCCCCCCCATAACTTGTTTCAGAAGGGCTACGATATTTATGCTGCTGTTTTAACTCTTTTCAATCCTTTATACATCCGAATACTTTGAATCACTCAACTAAATTTTAAGATGATTAAATAACCTAATTACTGCATGAGGCCGAAAAATGGAATATTAGCCTGAAAATATTTTTCTTAAAAACAAGAGGCCCAGGGGCCTTAATAGCTCACCTGGTATTTTATTTTTCAATTTAAAACCTGCTGAGTACCATTCAGGTTTATCAAAGGAGTACAAGTAACAAAGTTGCATCTTCCATTTATAAATATTCAATTCCCTTTGCCCAAAGATTCTCTAAAACAAGTTTGGTTAGGTTAAAATCCCTTCAACGGTACAGAAGGAGAAGGATCTTTAATGTTTTCCTCTATTTCCCCTAATGGGCCCCACTAATCTGCCCCAAAGAAGGGGAATCCACACACCTCAGTTTAAACAAAATTGATTCTTTTCTCCCTAAGCATGCTTCAGACTGCATTTGGTTTAAATCCCTTCACTTGTATAGTAGGAGAAAAAAAATCCTCTATTTCCCCTATTGGGCCCCGCTCCTATGCCGCCAGAAGGCCCACACCCTCCGTTTATACAAACTTGAGTCTCCTTTGTCCAAAGATGCTCTAGGACAAATTTGGTCAAAATCCTTCAATTGGTTGAGGAGAAGATTTTTAAAGATTTACCTATTTTCCCCTATTTGGCCCCGTCCCTCTGCCCCCAGGGGGACCATACCCTCCGTTCATACAAAACTGAGAACCCTTTGGCCAATGATGCTCCAGACCAAATTTGGTCAAAATCCCTTCATCGGTACAAAAGGAGAAGGATATTTGATGTTTTCCTCTATTTCCCCTAATGGGCCCCACCCATCTGCCCTTAGAAGGAGGCCCACACACCTCAGTTTATACAAAATTGATTCTTTTGTCCCTAATCATGCTTCAGACTGCATTTGGTTAAAATCCCTTCACTTGTATAGCAGGAGAAAAAAAATCCTCTATTTCCCCTATTGGGCCCCGCCCCT